TGATCCAGAAGGTCCCTTCTAGTCTTGTGTTTCTCAGTTCTTAATTCTGGGCTGTTGATACTACTGAAAGTTATGTGGTGATACCAAATAGTATGTTGCTTATGTCCCTTCATGGCTCTGGCCCCAAGATTCATAGATGTTAGGGACTGGAAGGTGCGCATCAGGATCTTGGAGAATGTCTGTTCGCCAGAGCGCCCCAAAGAATGACAAGGTCCAACAGTCACAAACTCCTCCAAGCCTGTTTTAGGCTGGCACTGGACATAAGGAAAAACTTTGTTACTGTCAGAGCCCCCAAGGCCTGGAATAGACTCCTCCCAGAGGTGGTGCAAGCACCTACTCTGGACTCTTTTAAGAAGCATTTGGACACTTACCTTGCTGGGATCCTTTGACCCTAGCTAACTTCCTGCCCCTGGGGCAGGGGGCTGGATGCAATGATCTTCCAAGGTCCCTTCCAGCCCTGATGTCTATGAAGTCTATACAGGCTCATTGGGTCTAGCCCCCACTGCACTTCAGCAAGAAAGGCTGCTGGAGATTAACTGCAAAATCTTGGCATTTGTGCTCCTCTCTCTCCATTTTATTGACAGGGTCTTTGAATAGTCAGTCTCCAAATGATTCCAACAGTCTTACCATTTTACTTCTTTTTAAAGTGTTCACAGTCCTCTTGGACATTGAGAAGTTATGGAGATAGGATAATTGTTTTAATATTGGGCTTTTTAAGAAAAAAACACTACTTCAGGTAATGTGTCTGGATACATTTCTTAAACATGCCACTTGCTCAACTTTCTTTGTGATATGGCATAACAACTGCAAGGGCAGACTCAGCTTAAAAATAATTTCTCTAAGGAAATTTTACACATACACATTTGATCAGATGCCTGGCAACTGGCAGGAGTTCAGGGTGCACAACGGGACCTGTTATCATTATGGCAGTAGTTATAATTAAGAAGAGACTCTCAGCTCCTGCAGCCCCTAACACTGAATTGGAGCAAACATAATAAAGGGAGCCTGGGGTGGAGACATGCTTGTCAGTGGCATGACAAGGCTGCTAGTGCACTCTTCTGTCCTATGATAAGTGGATTTCCTAACAGTAATGTTAGATTTGTTCAGTCATCACTTGATTAAAATTTTCGGTTGACATTATTTCCAGGTTAGTGTAACTGCCCTGAGAAATAGTTGGAACACAGTTTTCATTAAGAGGAGAAGAAAATATGTATCTGTTCTGTCTCCTCTTTAAGTGATTTCCAGTAAGACGATTTTATAAAATTTTGTGAAAACTGTTCATAGCAGAATCGATTATTCATTTTTCTGGTAAAAACCTTAAGGCTTTTTCAATTTGCTATTTTTCCTCTATTATACTGCATGTACCCTGTAGCATTTGTGGCTATTGTGGTTATTAAATAGGTATGTATTTCACAAAACATGAACTTTTATGCTTGGGTTGTGTTTAAAAATACTATTGACACTTTAGCTTAGCTGTTTGCAACATTTTTAGGCTCAAGGCACCCCTTGATAGGCTCAAGTCACCCCTTTGAACATGCTGACTCCTGGTTTGTACTCATTTTTTTTACTACAGAAAAATAATAGAGCTATTCTTCTGTTACCAAGAACTCAGATAGATCACAACTGGACAGAATGGCTTTAACACTATGCATTCCATTTGAAATCTCTTGGTTTCTCTTGTGAATCATACTTGCACACCAAACAGTGCTAACATTTGCATGCCACCCCCTGGTACCCTTGAAAGTACCTCAAGGCACTCCAGGGTGCCATAGCCCTGGTTGAGAATCACTGCTGTAGCTCCTGAACACAAAAAGTCATGGAAAACAGACTAGATCATAACTTTCTTTTGAAGACCATAGCTTTTATAATGATCCTACTAGGATGTTTCTCCTGTGAATACCACAATTCACTAGTCTCTCAAGTTAAAAACTGAGATTTGATTTTTCTGAGTTCAGTCTACTGTATATATATAATTATCATAACTGCCATCAGCTTTATAGGTAAAGACACTAATGCATTATGAATTAGCTATATATATTTTCTAAGACATTTGCATTGTGAGGAAGCTACTGTTTTTCACTTACTGGATAATTGTTTCATGTAGTTAACATTGTTGCTTCCTATGTACTTGTTGCTTATCAAGGAAACACAATTTTCAACTTATTTTTAATTTTAAAAAAAATTAGACATTGAGAGGAGGGGGAGGTTTGTAATGAAAGATGTGTCAAGTGTCAGTATGATTTGGCAGCTCCATTTTATTTCTGCTTTGAGAAAAAAGCTGAGGCTACCCACTTACTGTATATAGCAGTGGTTGTCAACCGGGGGTACTTATACAAGTCCTAGGGAGTATGCAGAGCTAATGTGGCCAGTAAATGCTGCTTGCATGTGTACTGCTGCAGCACAACAGGAGAGTAGCTGGGTCTGGCTGGTGAGTGTGTTGTGAGGGAAGGGGCCTGGGAGGGGAAGGAGGAGGGAGGGGGCAGATTGAGGCCCCAGCGGTGGGGGAGGGAGTGGGGCTGGGTCAGGGGCTGCCTAGCTGGGATGGAGCACCGGACTGAGCCATGTGGGGGGTGGCTTCCGTTGCTGCGCGTACCCTGGGAGGGCATGGGAAGCATGTGCCCCTGGGTCTGTGCGGGGCAGGGTGGGATGTCACTGTGGGCTGGGGCCAGGGCTCCAATGGGCTCTTTCTGGCAGGGGCTGGACCGGGCTCCGCTCAAGGCACATGGTGGCGGTAGCCCTGGGAGCAACCTACGGGAGGGGCTGTAGCCATCCCAGAATTTGCCGTAGCCCACCCCCCCATTAGCCCTCTCCCAGCACTGCCACCATACACCCCCAGTGCAGCCTGGCCCAGCCCCTGCCAGGAACAGCCCAACACCGGCCCCAGCCCACAGTGGCAGCCTGCCCTCCCCCATGCAGATCTGGAGGCACACATCCCTGTGCCTTCCTGGGGGTGCTCATAACTGTGGGAGGCACTCCCCACTGGGCTTAGTTCTGCATCCTACCCCAGCTGGGCAGCCTCTACCCTAGCCCCACTCCCTCCCCCATCGTTGGGCCAGCCCGCCCTCACCCCACATACAGATTTGGGGGCACATGCCCCCCAAGCCCTCCTGGGGTGTGTGCACCAGCGGGAGCTGCCATCCACCCTTCCCGTGTCCCTCAGATAAGCCACTCACAGCTCTGTCCCTTACTTTGCCCTGGCTATGCAGCCCCTATCCCAGCCCCACTCCCTCTCTCACCATGGTGGCCTCGATTTCCCCCCCCCACCTTAAAAACAAGAAAAAAATATAAAGGGGTACATGAGCTGAAACTTTGACAGAGAAGGGGTACACTTGTTTAAAAAGGTTGAAACCCCTGGTATATAGTATTAAAGCAGCTTGAACAATGCTAAGCTAAATTTTGGGTATTGAATTTATAAGCTCCACTCAGTGAACAAAAAGTTGTGTCAACAGACCATGAGATGCAACAAAAGATTAATGCACTGTAAAATGTCCATGAATGAAAAAGTAATTGGGCAACAGGATTTATTTTGCCTCATTCTTTTTAGGAATACTTGGAAATGTATATCTGTTCTTATATTAATAATTTTAAAAAAATGTAAACAAGTAGATGAATGATTTAATCTTGTGCTAATGTAATTAGTATGTATCTCATTCCCTGCGCTTTATAAGATCACAGGATGAAGATGGAATGATTTCATTAAATGAAATGTAGATTTTTTTTTAAATATTAAATTGATGAGCCGCTTCTACTGTTTGGTTTTTTAAAGCATTTTAAATGTTTCATTAAATACAATTATGTAATACCTTTCCAACTTTGTTTTTTTTTAAAGAAAATAAATGCAAAACTTCATGATGGAGTATGTCAGCATTGCAAAGATGTCTTGGAGTGGCGTGTAAAATTCAGCAAGTACAAACCACTAACAAAATCAAAAAAATGGTGAGATAATTCCATTACTTAGCTTTTACTGTTTCACGTTGATGTTCTTTACAAGCCATGTTAATGGTAATCTGCTTGGTAAATTCAGTATTTGAAATTCTAAAAATATCTATAAAGCTGTATTTGCTTTTTGTTATGATTGTTGCTTTTGCATTTTGTTTTCCACTTTGCACCTTCCATTAAAATATTTAATCACAACAGTGCTCCTGTAAAATATGCCAAAATATACTTTTTCTGAACAGTCAAACCTGAAATAAATTTACTAAAGTTAGAAAGAGCAAGTCAAATTTCTTTCTGTTTTTTCAATGGGCAAGAAATACTGGGGAGAATGTTCATTAGCTGAAGATTTCTTCATTCTTACAGCCTGACAAAATTCCCTTAGCACTACAAAATGAAAACTAAGTAATAGGTATCTTCCAGGGCTGTTGGACAGGGGATTAAAAAATTCTAATTTTTAAGCCTAATGTGGCGTCTCTAGTGGGTGCTATAAGTACCTTACTGCCCCCTTGGTCGGGGTGCCCCCAGCTTGCCTGTCACGACTTTTTACCTGATGAAAGGAGGGGTTCAGTGGTGGTGTTCTCGAGTGACCCGACAACAGAGGTACTCACAGCTGTGCTGCAGTGTTCTTTGGGACTCTGCCTCCCCTATACCCTGTCCACTCGCCAACCACTCAGGTGTTCCGCTTGCTGCTCCACTGATCTCCATAAGCCCCCTTATTATGGGGTCTGGCGTCAGCTTCAGCCAACTGGCTGGTCGCCTGGGTGTCAATGCATCTGGAGTCTCAGTCCCTGATCCCAAAGGACTGAGCTCCTTCGTGTTTTGGCATCCTTCCTTCCCCTCTGAGGGAGAGGGATGCTTCTTACAAACTTTGAGATTGCTGGGCCGGGGATTGTCCATCCCCAGCCTAATGCCTGACACTGCCTCCCTGCCTTTGAAGTGGGGCAGTGTCTGCCAGGCTGTTTATAACCAGCCTCCGGAGCTGCTGCTGCTGGTTGCCTGGCCTGCTCCCAGCTGGCTGGCTCCTCCTCTCCCCCGCCCTGCCAGTTTCCGGCGGGGTTTTTGAACCTCTCACAGGAGCAGCATCAGCTGCTGCAATTAGCCAGATGCCACCCCGCCCGGGGAGCAACTGTTTGAAGAGCCGGCATAATGCCAGCTCATGCGGCCATGACTCCAGCTTCGGTCCCGCTTCCAGAAGTAAGTCTACCGGAGCATGGGGAGTCTGCTTATTCACCCCGGGGCTCCTCCCACCACCCTTAGCACCTGTGGGGGCTTCTTGCCAACACACCTAATTTCAAATTTTGTTTTAATCTAGAACTTCCTCTGAATCTGGATATGGCATTGTCCTTTACTAGTTTCTTTTTTTAAAATCAATATCCACAACCATACATATCCTACAAACTGCTCCTTACAAATGGACTATAGTGCTGTATGAAAGTGCAAAGGTCAGCAATGCAGCTTGCCAGATGTATAGTTTTAGCTAATAGAATATTTACAGATATGCAGATCACATTTAATTTTTTGTAAAATTTTTCTTTATTCATTCAGATATCTTACCTTACTCCATAGTTTGCCCTTATAGATTAGATCCTTGTGTGCTAGAAATATTTTAATATAAAAAAATTGACATTTGAAACTTTTGCACAAAGGTTCAAAAGTAAAATATATAATGTAGCCCTGAGCAATGCAAATGAATCCATGCATGTTAACTACTGGTTTCTAGAGGGTTTTCACCTGGGGTTAAGGATTATCAAATGCTCAAATGATAGGTGAGGGCAGTTTCCTTTTTCTCTGTGAACTAGGAGTGTTGCTGACACATTAGCATTATAGCTGATGTCAGCTGACCACTGGGACACTATTGTATCACTGTGCTACCAGTGTGACACAATGAAAGACCAATAGAAAACCATGTCGAGTAAAGGCAGAAAAATCTAGGGTTTTAAAGGACCAATAAGAGCAATTTATAGCTACAGAATAAAGATAAAAAACCTGATATTGCCAGTACACTCTTTCCATCTTGGTTTAGCAGACAAAATAACTTAAATTATTTTTTTCAAGAATGTACTAGTGATACATGACCATTCCATGAATCAGAACTCTCTGATATTCACCAAAAGCTGGATTCAGAAAACTCTGGCATTTTTTACATAGAAAACTAGCTTCACTCGTATGTAATTCAGTATAAATCCCTTATATAAAATGTTGTAAGTAAAGCTGTAGGAAATGTAAATAGGAAAATCATACGTTTAAAACCAGGGCAGGCAATTATTTTACCTCGAGGGCCACTGGAAGAGTTTTGGTGAGCTGTTTTGAGCCGGGGGGGAGGGCTGGAGGGGAAGGTTGGAAGAGAGGGGTGCTGACCTG